ACGAGTTGTTCACTAATAACCACTTTAGTAGCAAATTTGTAGGTACTCTTTTGCCGCATGTTTTGCTCAAGAAGTTATAATTTACCCGCTGGCCACTTGACGGTTGCCCTTCCTCTACACGTAACAACCATTAACAAAATAACAAAGTTATATCATTTTTCAATAGTTTTACATTTCATACTGTAAGCAAGTTGCCAAAATAATTGACAACCGTTCATAAATTTTACGTTCATTCAGGTATCGGAGGCAAAGTGTAACGAACTGTTCCTTAACGTACCTGTCAGTAGGCTCACGATATCTAACGATCATCCTCAGCTTTGTCGTTAGCGATATCCTCGAAGATAGCTTATCTGTAGGGCTATAATTACCTCGCAGATGTTAGCCAGAAATTCGCGCACAAATATCCCTACCAAACAAAGGTTCCAAGACAACAAAAAACAAATGTTAATAATTATGTTGCGCAGTGGTTGGCGCATTCTGCTCGCAACAGAATGGTCTTGAGTTCGGTTCCCGGACAGGTAGACCATTTGGGGCGCGTTTTCCTTACACCAGATGTTCACTACCAGTAAGGCAGGTATTTTGCAGACAGCCATAAGTTGCGGGAAAGGTCTACCTACGTTGACCTTCCTTGACCCCTTCACTAAAAGGCTTCCCGTCTCCTCCTACAAAGGGAAGCAACAACCTTTCCATCCTTGTTCCAAGTTCCATCCAGGTTCCCTTGAGGTTACAGAGAGAAGGGAAGGGGGAAGTGGGTGGTTGCAAGCAAGATGCAGACATTTTTACCATAAAGATTTGTTAATTGAAAGTCGCAACATTGTCATTGTTACACACAGAAATCACAATTGCGTGTTGCATCAAATGAACAAATCCACAAGGGATTAATCCAGTCGATTAAGGCAGCGTCTGGGATGCACTCGGACGCAGGTTCGAATCCTCGTCACGGCCCTTGTGTATTTGTTCATTGTCATTGTTGACTGAATGGCTCTGAGGCTCGAGGCTGTCATCCCTTCCCATCATTGCTGGAATATATATGGATGAGCTGGAAGGTTGTGGACCAGCTGGAAGGTTGTGGACCAGCTGGAAGGTTGTGGACCAGCTGGAAGGTTGTGGACCAGCTGGAAGGTTGTGGACCAGCTGGAAGGTTGTGGACCAGCTGGAAGGTTGTGGACCAGCTGGAAGGTTGTGGACCAGCTGGAAGGTTGTGGACCAGCTGGAAGGTTGTGGACCAGCTGGAAGGTTGTGGACCAGCTGGAAGGTTGTGGACCAGCTGGAAGGTTGTGGACCAGCTGGAAGGTTGTGGACCAGCTGGAAGGTTGTGGACCAGCTGGAAGGTTGTGGACCAGCTGGAAGGTTGTGGACCAGCTGGAAGGTTGTGGACCAGCTGGAAGGTTGTGGACCAGCTGGAAGGTTCTGGATCAGCTGGAAGGTTGTGGACCAGCTGGAAGGTTGTGGACCAGCTGGAAGGCTGTGGACCAGCTGGAAGGTTGTGGACCAGCTGGAAGGTTGTGGACCAGCTGGAAGGTTGTCGGACAGCTGGAAGGTTGTCGGACAGCTGGAAGGTTGTCGGACAGCTGGAAGGTTGTGGACCAGCTGGAAGGTTGTCGGACAGCTGGAAGGTTGTGGGCCAGCTGGAAGGTTGTGGAACAGCTGGAAGGTTGTGGAACAGCTGGAAGGTTGTGGACCAGCTGGAGGGTTGTGGACCAGCTGGAGGGTTGTGGACCAGCTGGAAGGTTGTGGACCAGCTGGAAGGTTGTGGACCAGCTGGAGGGTTGTGGACCAGCTGGAGGGTTGTGGACCAGCTGGAAGGTTGTGGACCAGCTGGAGGGTTGTGGACCAGCTGGAGGGTTGTGGACCAGCTGGAGGGTTGTGGACCAGCTGGAAGGTTGTGGACCAGCTGGAGGGTTGTGGACCAGCTGGAGGGTTGTGGACCAGCTGGAGGGTTGTGGACCAGCTGGAGGGTTGTGGACCAGCTGGAGGGTTGTGGACCAGCTGGAAGGTTGTCGGACAGCTGGAAGGTTGTGGACCAGCTGGAAGGTTGTCGGACAGCTGGAAGGTTGTGGACCAGCTGGAAGGTTGTCGGACAGCTGGAAGGTTGTGGACCAGCTGGAAGGTTGTCGGACAGCTGGAAGGTTGTGGGCCAGCTGGAAGGTTGTGGAACAGCTGGAAGGTTGTGGACCAGCTGGAGGGTTGTGGACCAGCTGGAAGGTTGTGGACCAGCTGGAGGGTTGTGGACCAGCTGGAGGGTTGTGGACCAGCTGGAAGGTTGTGGACCAGCTGGAAGGCTGTGGACCAGCTGGAAGGTTGTGGACCAGCTGGAAGGTTGTGGACCAGCTGGAAGGTTGTGGACAGCTGGAAGGTTGTCGGACAGCTGGAAGGTTGTCGGACAGCTGGAAGGTTGTGGACCAGCTGGAAGGTTGTCGGACAGCTGGAAGGTTGTCGGACAGCTGGAAGGTTGTGGACCAGCTGGAAGGTTGTGGACCAGCTGGAAGGTTGTGGACCAGCTGGAAGGTTGTGGACCAGCTGGAAGGTTGTGGACCAGCTGGAAGGTTGTGGACCAGCTGGAAGGTTGTGGACCAGCTGGAAGGTTGTGGACCAGCTGGAGGGTTGTGGACCAGCTGGAAGGTTGTGGACCAGCTGGAGGGTTGTGGACCAGCTGGAAGGTTGTGGACCAGCTGGAAGGTTGTGGACCAGCTGGAAGGTTGTGGACCAGCTGGAAGGTTGTGGACCAGCTGGAAGGTTGTGGACCAGCTGGAAGGTTGTGGACCAGCTGGCTGGAAGGTTGTGGACCAGCTGGAAGGTTGTGGACCAGCTGGAAGGTTGTCGGACAGCTGGAAGGTTGTGGACCAGCTGGAAGGTTGTCGGACAGCTGGAAGGTTGTGGACCAGCTGGAAGGTTGTCGGACAGCTGGAAGGTTGTGGACCAGCTGGAAGGTTGTCGGACAGCTGGAAGGTTGTGGGCCAGCTGGAAGGTTGTGGAACAGCTGGAAGGTTGTGGACCAGCTGGAGGGTTGTGGACCAGCTGGAAGGTTGTGGACCAGCTGGAGGGTTGTGGACCAGCTGGAGGGTTGTGGACCAGCTGGAAGGATGTGGACCAGCTGGAAGGTTGTGGACCAGCTAGAAGGTTGTGGACCAGCTGGAAGGTTGTCGGACAGCTGGAAGGTTGTGGACCAGCTGGAAGGCTGTGGACCAGCTGGAAGGTTGTGGACCAGCTGGAAGGTTGTGGACCAGCTGGAAGGTTGTCGGACAGCTGGAAGGTTGTCGGACAGCTGGAAGGTTGTCGGACAGCTGGAAGGTTGTGGACCAGCTGGAAGGTTGTCGGACAGCTGGAAGGTTGTGGGCCAGCTGGAAGGTTGTGGACCAGCTGGAAGGTTGTGGAACAGCTGGAAGGTTGTGGACCAGCTGGAGGGTTGTGGACCAGCTGGAGGGTTGTGGACCAGCTGGAAGGTTGTGGCCCAGCTGGACGGTTGTGGACCAGCTGGAGGGTTGTGGACCAGCTGGAGGGTTGTGGACCAGCTGGAAGGTTGTGGACCAGCTGGAGGGTTGTGGACCAGCTGGAGGGTTGTGGACCAGCTGGAGGGTTGTGGACCAGCTGGAGGGTTGTGGACCAGCTGGACGGTGGACCAGCTGGAGGGTTGTGGACCAGCTGGGGTTGTGGACCAGCTGGAGGGTTGTGGACCAGCTGGAGGGTTGTGGACCAGCTGGAGGGTTGTGGACCAGCTGGAGGGTTGTGGACCAGCTGGAGGGTTGTGGACCAGCTGGAGGGTTGTGGACCAGCTGGAAGGTTGTGGACCAGCTGGAAGGTTGTGGACCAGCTGGAAGGTTGTGGACCCGCTGGAAGGTTGTGGACCAGCTGGAAGGTTGTGGACCAGCTGGAAGTTGTGGACCAGCTGGAAGGTTGTGGACAGCTGGAAGGTTGTCGGACAGCTGGAAGGTTGTGGGACAGCTGGAAGGTTGTGGACCAGCTGGAAGGTTGTGGACCAGCTGGAAGGTTGTGGACCAGCTGGAAGGTTGTGGACCAGCTGGAAGGTTGTGGACCAGCTGGAAGGTTGTGGACCAGCTGGAAGGTTGTGGACCAGCTGGAAGGTTGTGGACCAGCTGGAAGGTTGTCGGACAGCTGGAAGGTTGTGGACCAGCTGGAAGGTTGTCGGACAGCTGGAAGGTTGTGGACCAGCTGGAAGGTTGTGGACCAGCTGGAAGGTTGTCGGACAGCTGGAAGGTTGTGGACCAGCTGGAAGGTTGCGGACCAGCTGGAAGGTTGCGGACCAGCTGGAAGGTTGCGGACCAGCTGGAAGGTTGCGGACCAGCTGGAAGGTTGCGGACCAGCTGGAAGGTTGCGGACCAGCTGGAAGGTTGTCGGACAGCTGGCAGGGTGTGGACAGCTGGAAGGTTGTCGGACAGCTGGAAGGTTGTGGACCAGCTGGAAGGTTGTGGACCAGCTGAAAGGTTGTGGACCAGCTGAAAGGTTGTGGACCAGCTGGAAGGTTGTGGACCAGCTGGAAGGTTGTGGACCAGCTGGAAGGTTGTGGACCAGCTGGAAGGTTGTCGGACAGCTGGAAGGTTGTCGGACAGCTGGAAGGTTGTGGACCAGCTGGAAGGTTGTGGACCAGCTGGAAGGTTGTGGACCCGCTGGAAGGTAATGATTCAGAATATCTATCGAATTTGTCTGGTCGTCAAGGCGTCATGTGCTGGCATCTATGAATGATGGTTGACTGTACCCCCAGCTCGGTACAGCAGCAAACAGACTTTTGCTCTTTACAACAACAAACTTCTGCTCGGTACAGAAGAAGATTGCTCCACTGTCGCTCTACCGCCCACTTGGACTGGACGGTAGAGCGACGGTCTCGCATCATGCTGGTCGGCGTTCAATCCCTGACCATCCATAAGTGGTTAGGCACCATATTCCTTCCCCCCCCCCCCCCACCCCGTCCCATCCCAAATTTTTAACCTGACCTCCTTCCCAGTGTTACATAGTCGTAAATGTTTGGCGCTTTCTCCTGATAGTTTCCTTCCCTTCAATGGGAAATGCATACAGAGAGCTCTGTATGTGCTGACGGCTCTGTATGTGCTGACGGCTCTGTATGTGCTGAGGGCTCTGTATGTGCTGAGGGCTCTGTATGTGCTGAGGGCTCTGTATGTGCTGAGGGCTCTGTATGTGCTGACGGCTCTGTATGTGCTGAGGGCTCTGTATGTGCTGAGGGCTCTGTATGTGCTGAGGGCTCTGTATGTGCTGAGGGCTCTGTATGTGCTGAGGGCTCTGTATGTGCTGAGGGCTCTGTATGTGCTGAGGGCTCTGTATGTGCTGAGGGCTCTGTATGTGCTGAGGGCTCTGTATGTGCTGAGGGCTCTGTATGTGCTGAGGGCTCTGTATGGGCTGAGGGCTCTGTATGTGCTGAGGGCTCTGTATGTGCTGAGGGCTCTGTATGGGCTGAGGGCTCTGTATGGGCTGAGGGCTCTGTATGGGCTGTGGGCTCTGTATGTGCTGAGGGCTCTGTATGTGCTGGCCGGTATCTTTCTGTCAAGTTATTTAGCCTGGTGATTAGTGTTAAATAGAGACTGTATCGTCGGCCCCTTGTGTTTACGGCCCCCTTTGTATTTAGGGCCCCGTGTGTTTAGGGCCCCATGGAACACTGACCTTACTCATATGGTAAGACAACGTTCTCCAACGATACGAGATTGCAAATCTTATCTTATGATGGGTGAATATTTGGGTTTATAGAACGGCAGCGATTTGCATTTTACACCGTCAGGGACCTCTCTGTTACACCGTCAGGGACCTCTCTGTTACACCGTCAGGGGCCTCTCTGTTACACCGTCAGGGGCCTCTCTGTTACACCGTCAGGGGCCTCTCTGTTGCACCGTCAGGGGCCTCTCTGTTACACCGTCAGGGGCCTCTCTGTTACACCGTCAGGGGCCTCTCTGTTACACCGTCAGGGGCCTCTCTGTTACACCGTCAGGGGCCTCTCTGTTGCACCGTCAGGGGCCTCTCTGTTACACCGTCAGGGACCTCTCTGTTGCACCGTCAGGGGCCTCTGTTACACCGTCAGGGCCTCTCTGTTACACCGTCAGGGACCTCTCTGTTACACCGTCAGGGACCTCTCTGTTACACCGTTAGGGACCTCTCTGTTACACCGTCAGGGGCCTCTCTGTTACACCGTCAGGGGCCTCTCTGTTACACCGTCAGGGGCCTCTCTGTTGCACCGTCAGGGGCCTCTCTGTTACACCGTCAGGGACCTCTCTGTTACACCTTCAGGGGCCTCTCTGTTACACCGTCAGGGACCTCTCTGTTACACCGTCAGGGACCTCTCTGTTACACCGTCAGGGACCTCTCTGTTACACCGTCAGGGACCTCTCTGTTACACCGTCAGGGACCTCTCTGTTACACCGTCAGGGACCTCTCTGTTACACCGTCAGGGGCCTCTCTGTTACACCGTCAGGGACCTCTCTGTTACACCGTCAGGGACCTCTCTGTTACACCGTCAAGGACCTCTCTGTTACACCGTCAGGGACCTCTCTGTTACACCGTCAAGGACCTCTCTGTTACACCGTCAGGGACCTCTCTGTTACACCGTCAGGGGCCTCTCTGTTACACCGTCAGGGGCCTCTCTGTTGCACCGTCAGGGGCCTCTCTGTTACACCGTCAAGGACCTCTCTGTTACACCGTCAGGGGTCTCTCTGTTACACCGTCAGGGGCCTCTCTGTTACACCGTCAGGGACCTCTCTGTTACACCGTCAGGGACCTCTCTGTTACACCGTCAGGGGCCTCTCTGTTGCACCGTCAGGGGCCTCTCTGTTGCCCCGTCAGGGGCCTCTCTGTTGCACCGTCAGGGGCCTCTCTGTTGCACCGTCAGGGGCCTCTCTGTTACACCGTCAGGGGCCTCTCTGTTGCACCGTCAGGGGCCTCTCTGTTGCACCGTCAGGGGCCTCTCTGTTGCACCGTCAAGGACCTCTCTGTTACACCGTCAGGGGCCTCTCTGTTGCACCGTCAGGGGCCTCTCTGTTGCACCGTCAGGGGCCTCTCTGTTGCACCGTCAGGGGCCTCTCTGTTGCACCGTCAGGGGCCTCTCTGTTGCACCGTCAGGGGCCTCTCTGTTGCACCGTCAGGGGCCTCTCTGTTGCACCGTCAGGGGCCTCTCTGTTACACCGTCAGGGACCTCTCTGTTACACCGTCAGGGACCTCTCTGTTACACCGTCAGGGGCCTCTCTGTTACACCGTCAGGGACCTCTCTGTTACACCGTCAGGGGCCTCTCTGTTACACCGTCAGGGGCCTCTCTGTTACACCGTCAGGGACCTCTCTGTTACACCGTCAGGGACCTCTCTGTTACACCTTCAGGGGCCTCTCTGTTACACCTTCAGGGGCCTCTCTGTTACACCTTCAGGGGCCTCTCTGTTACACCTTCAGGGGCCTCTCTGTTACACCTTCAGGGGCCTCTCTGTTACACCGTCAGGGGCCTCTCTGTTACACCGTCAAGGACCTCGCTGTTACACCGTCAGGGGCCTCTCTGTTACACCGTCAAGGACCTCTCTGTTACACCTTCAGGGGCCTCTCTGTTACACCGTCAAGGACCTCTCTGTTACACCGTCAGGGACCTCTCTGTTACACCTTCAGGGGCCTCTCTGTTACACCGTGAAGGGCCTCTCTGTACATTATCTTTTTACATAAGCATTTGTTGACATTTGTTATAATGATATTATAGTTGAACAGTGTCATCAATTTGGCCATATATACTCATTACCCTTAAACCCTTCACATCTGGGGAAAGTTAAATTTCATTTTTAAACATATATATATTGTTTTTATAACGGAAATATCATCTACAAAAGGTTTTAATTTTAAGTTCATCATCTTGCATGTTCTGTCTCTGCTGGAGAGACAATTCTCCTAAGACGTTTTTAATAGATCCTCACTAGTACAAACCCATGGTAATCTCTCAAGGATTCTCTCGTGCATTTTTGGATAGGATTGTAATGATAAAACACGAAGGAAGGAATGAGACATGACATTCCTTAAGTACTTTCGTATTTAATAATTCATCTTCAGAAGGGTGGATATTACAAGTCAACGGTGGTGGAGATATTGGCCGGAATGAGGAGGGGTGAACAACAATGTCTCTGTTCACAAAACTTAAGAGGAAAATCTGTTTTTGGGAACAAAATCATTGTTGTTCATCCCACCTCATTCCGGCCAATATCTCCACTAACACTGACTTGTAAAATCCACCCTTCTGAAGATGTATTAATAAATACGAAAGTACTTAAAGAATTTCATATTTCATTCCTTCCTTCATGTTCTGGCATTGTCACCTTGTTCCGCATATGTTATTTTCTTCGTGATTTGCACACACACACACACACACACACACACACACACACACACACACAGGGAACAGGGAAATGGCTACTGGAGTTTAACACCAGTAAATGTAAAGTTATGGAAATGGGATCAGGTGATAGGAGACCAAAGGGACAGTACACAATGAAGGGGAACAGCCTACCTGTAACGATTCGAGAAAGAGACCTGGGAGTGGATGTGAAACCTAATCTAACTCCTGAGGCACATATAAATAGGATAACGACAGCAGCGTACTCTACACTGGCGAAAATTAGAACTTCATTCAGAAACCTAAATGAGGAGGCTTTTAGGGCGCTTTACACTGCCTACGTGAGACCCGTCTTAGAGTATGCCGCGCCATCATGGAGCCCCCACCTGAAGAAACACATAAAGAAACTGGAGAAGGTCCAGAGGTTTGCGACGAGGCTTGTCCCAGAGTTAAGAGGGATGGGATATGAAGAGCGTCTGCAGGAACTGAACCTTACGACACTAGAGAAAAGAAGGGAGAGAGGAGATATGATAGGGACATATAAAATACTCAGAGGAATTGACAAAGTGTAAATAGATGAAATGTTCACACGTAATAATAACAGAACGAGGGGACATGGGTGGAAACTGGAAACTCAGATGAGTCACAGAGATATTAGAAAGTTTTCTTTTAGCGTGAGAGTAATGGAAAAATGGAATGCACTTGGGGAACAGGTTGTGGATGCAAATACTATTCATACTTTTAAAACTAGGTATAATAGGGAAATGGGACAGGAGTCATTGCTGTAAACAACCGATAGCTGGAAAGGCGGGATCCAAGAGTCAATGCTCGATCCTGCAAGCACAAATAGGTGAGTACAAATAGGTGAGTACACACACACACACACACACACACACACACACACACACACACACACACACACACATATATATATATATATATATATATATATATATATATATATATATATATATATATATATATATATATATATATATATATATATATATATATATATATAATTATCAGTTACAAATATAGATATATACGCATATATATATAATATAATTATTTTTTTCTGCTAGAACAGTGATAATCATCCTTTAAACGTCCGTTGCAGGAAGGATGGGGACTGAGAACTATCCTCGACATCTTGACAACTTTCTGACATAAGGTAAGTAACGTTCTTAATGCTCTTCTTATTGTTCCCTCAGTGGTCCCTGGAAGTCTCAATGTTCCCTCAGTGGTCCCTGGAAGTCTTAATGTTCCCTCAGGGGTCCCTGGAAGTCTTATTCTTCCCTCAGTGGTTCCTGGAAGTCTTATTCTTCCCTCAGTGGTCCCTGGAAGTCTTATTCTTCCCTCAGTGGTCCCTGGAAGTCTTATTGTTCCCTCAGTGGTCCCTGGAAGTCTCAATGTTCCCTCAGTGGTCCCTGGAAGTCTTAATGTTCCCTCAGGGGTCCCTGGAAGTCTTATTCTTCCCTCAGTGGTCCCTGGAAGTCTTATTGTTCCCTCAGTGGTCCCTGGAAGTCTTATTCTTCCCTCAGTGGTCCCTGGAAGTCTTATTGTTCCCTCAGTGGTCCCTGGAAGTCTCAATGTTCCCTCAGTGGTCCCTGGAAGTCTTATTGTTCCCACAGTGGTCCCTGGAAGTCTTGTTGTTCCCTCAGGGGTCCCTGGAAGTCTTATTGTTCCCTCAGTGGTCCCTGGAAGTCTCAATGTTCCCTCAGTGGTCCCTGGAAGTCTTATTGTTCCCACAGTGGTCCCTGGAAGTCTTGTTGTTCCCTCAGGGGTCCCTGGAAGTCTTATTGTTCCCTCAGTGGTCCCTGGAAGTCTCAATGTTCCCTCAGTGGTCCCTGGAAGTCTTATTGTTCCCACAGTGGTCCCTGGAAGTCTTGTTGTTCCCTCAGTGGTCCCTGGAAGTCTCAATGTTCCCTCAGTGGTCCCTGGAAGTCTTATTGTTCCCACAGTGGTCCCTGGAAGTCTTGTTGTTCCCTCAGTGGTCCCTGGAAGTCTTATTGTTCCCACAGTGGTCCCTGGAAGTCTTGTTGTTCCCTCAGTGGTCCCTGGAAGTCTTAATGTTCCCTCAGACCTTATATGGTCCTGGAATTGTTATTGATAAGCTCTACTGAAAACTATTGCATATTGTTTAATGATCAAACACTAGTTACATTGTATTTGTGGGCTGATGTTCGGAAAGTTGATTATGTCGTTGAATGAGTTGTTTGGTATATGAT